ACTTTGTCCACATCTGGCCGCTCCTCACGATCCACTTTGATGCACACGAAGTTCTTGTTCATAATCTCCCCGATCTCCCTGTTCTTGAAGGACTCCTCCTCCATCACATGGCACCAGTGGCAGGTGGAATAGCCAACTGAAAACAAGCTCGGGCGAGTGAGGAAAGGCCCTTTGCGGGGAGCACGACAGGCGTTACGGGGAGGTTGCTCAGAGGTGGGACACCCTGCTATGGGGAACAGCTGCTGCCCCCCTGGAGAAGAGGTGGAGGAGAAAGGCCTCCTGCGAGCATGGAGGCTTGCAGGGCCTCCTGGGCTCTCCAGCTCTTGCTCCTAAAAACTGGCCAAGGGCTCTGGCAGCCAGGAAGGCCCCTGGAGGCAGCCCATCTTCAGCGAGAGCTATTAAAGCCCTCTCTTGCTGGCAGAGAATTAGTGCCCGGTGTTCAGCCTTACCTATGCAGTTACTCACACACCGGCTCAGGACACAGCCCGGCTTATCTGGTCATCTACTGCACAACACGTGGGAACACGAAATATGTCTTGTTTCTGGTTACCTGACAGGAATATCAGCTTGTTTTCTTTCTTCGCTTTATCAAAGGCTTCCTGACTCCAAGGGAACCTGTGGAGGGAAGACAAGAAAGGAGCTTCAGGGGTCACTGCTGCCAGGATTCATGGGCTCCTCTAAAGCTGCCTGAGAAGCCGCTGCCTGGTGGGGAGCGGTCAAGACAGCCGGGGGCATGGCTGGCTCAGGAGCATGGACCCCAAGGCTGTGGGGAGCTGGACAGGAGGCCACGCTGCTTCGCCTGCCATCGCTTCCACGGCAGCGAGTCCCTCAGCCCCACGGACACGGGACGAGGAGGGAGAAAGACACCAGTCGCTCTTACCAATCCACGGGGTTGTGAGCGTGCTGCAGGAGGTAGGGGGACTTCTCGTTAATCAGGCGGTTGGTGTGACGAGGGACGCTGGGGGGGCTGGTTGTCCCCCCCGTGGCCATGGTCACGCTCCCCGTTAGAAACACGCACCTGCGACGCCAAACAGGCTCATCATTTCCTCGCTCACCACAGCGAAGCGCAGACCCTGTAA